TCATGGTACTCTACCCTGCGCGATTTCAATATAACCCACGTCCTTGCACCGCATAACTCTTAATATCTATCTTAATGTTATCATCCGATCTAGAACACTGGGTCTCTGAGGTGCTCTCTTCCTTCGAAATTATTCGACTAAGAAGTTTTTGAACGTGTATATATATATATATATATATATTGACACGTATCCAGGTAACGCGACAAGACAATGGGTTCCGGATTAGGCGAAGATGTTTTTGGACAACGACTCGCTTACACTCACAATTACAATCACTCTCAAATACGCTCTTTCAGACGGAGCGACATGATTAGTCCGTTGTTCTCGCATTTCCGCTTCAACGGGTATACTCGCACCGCTATTCTCGGTGGAGTGTCTTTGCTCTTGGTTGTTTTCTTATCTCTCGTCGGATCTGAACTGTCCTGCGCCTTGTCTTCTACCTCCTAAAGTAGCTCTTCGCGTACCGCTGAGAGAACATTTTGTCGAAGGGTTCTGTTTCGCATATTAGGTAGAACATTTATTAGCGGGTCTATTCGTTGCCGTGGTAACTCAACAATTTTGTCTTTGTTGTCTAGGCAGTTTCCACGTATTCGTTGCCGCTGAAGTATGCGTTCTCAATGCAGCCGTTGGGCAGTGACGGACACCATACAGTCCGGCAGTTAGGCGGCACGCCACAATATATATATATATATATCCTACCTGTTCGATTCCCGGCTCTACCAGATTTTTTCGGAGAAATAGTGGGTCTGGAACGGGGTCCACTCAGCCTCATGATGATAATTGAGGAGCTATTTCAAGGTCTAGAAAACCGAAATTAACGGCCGTGGGGATTAGTTGCGTAACCACACGACACCCTCTATCCGCAAAAGTTGGCACTAAACTTCGCCGAAGAGCGGCGGTCGCTCGGTCGGTATAGTTCGCTTGAGGACTGAAATCACGGAGTTTATACGTGTTACATGTCCCGCCTATCCATCTTTTTTGCTTTAGTCCTAACAATTTCGAAGTTCCCACTGCGTAATTATCTCTAAGCTCTTGTTAGTTTCTCTGCCTTATTTCCGAAGAACTCCTTACTAAAATACTCGTAACCTATGCATTGCCTTTAAATGGAGATTAGGGAAGGATTATGTCATTTGAAAAGGGAGAGTACTTTATCGGTACTCGAACCCGCGACCTTCTGGCTTGCAGCATAGTGCCTCAACCAGCCTCCAAGGAACAGATAACAAAATTACACAAGAATATGTGCACTTACAAAGGGTCTTTCCATTTCGCTTCTGCTCGTAGAGGTGACATTAACGTAAACCGTATTCGTTAGCATCTCATGCGACATAAGGGTGAAGCACACTAACAGATCGAGAGCAATCACGGAGGACGTCGACAGAATGAGAGCAGAGAATTAAGCTAACTGTGATGAAGAACATTCTTTATCTACGTCTAGCTGACCAGTCGCGACGTATTTGAGACCGACAGCGAAGGAGAAACCCTCGATCACATCCCATACGATGTGCATTTTCAGCACAATGGCTCCCACCTGTTGGAATGCTACCCATCCATTACGAGCAGAGTAACTTCTTTATTTGTCCTGTCAGGTACAATCTTCACGGCTTCAACTGAAGACTGAAACCCGGGCCTGTGCTCCAAGTCCTGAATCATGTATCTTCTTCCCAGAGGAATTTTATCGAACGTGACAAAAATACAAACTTTCTAAACAGATGTTCATCGTGATAGCCCAGTCCTTTGGCTGAAATATACGTACATCATTTCGGATCGTAAAACAAGTAAAAGAATTATGAGATAACTACAAATTTCCACAGATAACAGAATTTGTGGAACAGGTTGAAAGGATGAATAATACGGGATTCCAATACCTGCCACTCGGCGCTACAGCCTCCTCTACAACCATTCTCCATCGCTCCCTATTCCTCATCTTCTCTATCCATCATTTCTCCTTCATCTTCTTCAGGTCGTTCTCAATATCTTCTATCCATCTCATCCTAGGTCTTCCTTTTAACATTCTCTTTGGTACTGCATTATCTTCCATTCTTTCCACATGTCCCAACCATCTTATTCTCTATGACTTGATAAATCTTACTATATCTTCTCCTTCTAGTAATGTGTTTTGACAGGATTCCAATAAGTGTGTTAAAATATCAACCAAAATGAGAAAGGAATTTCATAAGAATTGCGAAACGATAAAAAGAGTTCTGTTTTGTAATATGTCTCAGTAATTCATAGTAATGTAAAGAATGGTGATGATATAGACACCCTGACGATGTTGGCTGTAGGTTCCACTGAAACGTTGGTACCTACCTAGCATCTACAAGGCGTCACATTCCATGAGATAGTAATCTTGTCTAACTCAAGTTCCTGGAATTTTATTAAAACATTTCTGCATTTAGATATTCTGCAGTATATAATGTTCAACTGATTCCCTGAGGACTAAACTATATCCCTGCTCCAAAAACTAGACAGACTCTTTAACTAGAAACTTTTTTTCCTAACCATTGATTTGGGAATTGGATCGCTCTGGCGCAAGTACAAGAGGGTGAATGTCAGGGGTTGGGGAGGGATGTTTCTTGTGGTTTGATCGAACCAACGCAAGAAGGGGAAGCTCCAGATTGCGGCTTCTTGTAGTGTGCAGAACATGGCGCACCACACGGAGTCGTGTATCACAGGATGTTCCTAGTAACTGGCATTGCAGATCACCATTTCACTTTTCAGGCTGAGAGTATAAGGTGCCATATGTGCAGGAGTTGGGCCTGTCTTACCCTCCAACACCGCGAAATAATAACGCGTATCAGGGGCAGTGGTTGTCAAGCCCTTTCCTATATGAAAATTACAGATGCAAATTTCGGGCTATCGGGATGGATTTGCGCAATCAGAAACGGAAAGATCCATGGTACTGAAGGAGATGTTGGTTCTTCAACCTGTTACATGCGGAGCATCCAAGAGGTCCTTCAATGATATGGTGAAAGCTCGAATTTAGCGTTGTTAAAAAGCCACAAACAATTGTCGCATATGTAAGACTCGAGGTTTTCACAGCACTGACTGAAGAATGCCGTATTCTGAGAAGTGAATCCGTTTAGATCTTGTGTGAACCGACGTTTCCTTCATGGTGTAGTGATTAATTAGTTAAGCACAGGGAAAACTTTACATTTGTACCTCGTACAATTATCATTGCAGGTACGAGGAAGTGTTTTAGTTTCTAAATCAGAAATAGAGATATACTGTAGGTAATATTTAAATCCGCCGGTCACGGTAGCCGAGCGGTCTAAGACATGTACTGCCTTCGCTGGGTTTGAAACCGAGATCGTGGGTTCGAATCCCACACAAGGCATGGATGTTTTGTATGTGTATGTGTTTATTTTGTATTTGTGTTGTCCTGTCTTTAGGTAGAGGCCTTGCGACGAGCTGATTACTTGTCCAAGGAGTCCTACCGTCTGTAAACATGATCATGAACCTGAAAATCAGAGGTCAGGGCCCAAGGGGGTGTAGACCCAGCGAAAAAAAAAATTAAATCCAAACTTCGAAGCAAAGAATGTGTGAAAGTATATAATTTAAAAGCAGCTGTAGACAAATATGTCCACTTCTTAATTCCGAACTCTCAGTCCCTCAAGGGACTTGTATATGCGTTGCGTCCCTCTTTCATATTCGAGGTCCTGTGACGTCAGAAATAATTAAAAATATGTCGTTAACAATCGGCTTATTCGAACGCAGCTCCCATGCTTTTACATTGAATGTTACTGGCCAAGTAAGCCATAAATGTACAGTTTCAGAGCTCTACGGGAGTCCAGCACCTGGATTCGGTACTGACTTCAGTACTACAGACACTAGTGAAGACAACACCACACGCCGCTAGAAGGAACACACAAGCAAGGGTCATATGGCAGACGTAGAAAAACAACGGGCTAACAAACAGAAAAACAAGCTGCAAGAATGAACCTTTTGGAATATCACATAGCTCCAAACAAGTGGACGACGCCCCTTATGAAGTGGAATAGGATTCTACGAAAACAATTTAATGGATTTTAATTAATTATCTACGTTGCCTTTAAGCGGACTGGAACGCGCAGTTTTAGCACACACCAGAGCAGTGTAACAGTTTGGTTGCAGTAAGACATCTGAAGGTGTCCATCTATGGCAGAAACATGTTAAGTGCTAATGGTGAATAAATAATTGTTGCATTATTGACGGACTGTGGATATATTGACGTTTAACTAAAGACAAAATAATGGATGAGCCATTAAAGCCAAAGTCCAGCCATGTGTGAACAAAATTGTTTAGGATAATTTCCACGCTATATATTAGTTGTATGCAAGAAAAACTTAATAACAACTAACACGTAATTTATCTAAACGATGTACCAATTGCACCACACACACAGCAACAGAAATGTCTCTGCATTTTCCGCCAACGACTAACGCGCACACGTTGGGTTACAAAATAAAAACACCCTGTAGAAAACGGTCACGGGAGAGGGCAGTATTCTTATGTCGTGGTATATCTCATTTCTTTCCTTGGCACTACAGCCCCAGTGGGCCTAGGCCCACCTCCATGAACTTCTCCGTTCACTTCGGTTTTTCTTGATCTTACACAGTCGGTAGGACTCCTTGGGCGGGTGATCAGTTCGTCGCAAGGCCTCTACCTGTACATAAACACAGAAAAACGTACACAGACAAACTAAACATCCATGCCCTGTGTGGGATTCGAACCCACGATCCCGGTTTCCAAGCGAGCGAAGATAGTACATGCCTTAGACCGCTCGGCTACCGTGACCGGCGTGGTATATCTCATATACTCCTAGCTATTTGTCTGTTCAAAACACTATTTTACTTTGGATCCAAGAAATACGAAGGCGGCTGTCTCTAAGAACGAAAGCAAGGAGGAGAAACCGGATTCCGATCGACAACCCAAGAGACACAAAATTCCATCTATCCATTCTCATATTATTGACGCACAAAAAAAGTAATTTCCTGAAAGTGACTGTAATATCATTCGCTTACCTTTCAGCCGGTTCCCTCCTAGTGCTTTTCTGTGTACCTCTCAATGGATCCATTTTTCTTACCCTCTTCGATAAGTGGTTTGGTACAGCCAGAGAAAACTGTGAAAAAAAAATAAATTTAATTTGAGATCGGCAAATCGCAAGGGCAAATGTGGGTTCATACGGGCACCGGCAACCGTTAAAATTGCGCTCTCCATCGGCGTTCCTACAAACTAGTTGCAACTGACGCGGAGAGAACTTCAGTTATATTTTACTTTGTCCTATTCGTAATGTATACGAGAAAGCGATGTGGTCGTGAAAGCAGTCCGATCTTGACATTTAGATTTATTTAAAATTTCTTAAGCCCCATAAATGAACAGGGTGTTGAGAAGAGTATTTAGACCGAAGGGAGATGAAGAGACCGGAGGTTGAAGAAAACTACATAACGAGAAACTTCATAACTTGTACTCTTCTCCGAGTATAATTAGAAAGATAAAGTCAAGGAGAATTATGTGGGCAGGGCATGTAGCACGAATGCGGCGAAGAGGAATACATATAGGACCTTGACTAGTAAGCCAGAAGGAAACAGACTACTAGAAAAACCAAGAAGTAAGTGGTTGGACAACGTTAAAATGAATTTTTGAGATAGGATGGGATGGGATAGATTGGATTCATCTGGCTCAGGATAGGGAACAATGGATGGCTCTTGTGAACACGATAATAAACCTTCCGGTTCCATAAAATTCTGGGAAGTTCTTGTGTGACTGCAAAATTGGCGGCTTCTCAAGAAGGGCTCAGGTCCATGAGTGAATGAGTAAGTAAGTGAAACCCCATGAATAGAAAATCTCGATTTGTAATGGTAACTGTCTTTTTGCAGACAGATATACCTCTCGTCAGAGCCTGAACCGGCTGGACAGGTTTCATTCATGTTTTGTATTTATGAGTTATCCATCACAAATCAGTGCCTGACGTATATGAAGTTTCTAACTCCGAAAGTAGGGGCCCTTCAGATAGACCCAAAAATCAAATTACCGAATTTCTCGAAAACAGATCTGATTATTTTTATTAAAATCCAGCAAATTATGGAGATTGCATAAGTAAAATTTCGATGGGTGTTATCTCCTCGGGCCTAAACGAGAAAGGCCAGTTTTCTGAAAAACTGCTTGACCCATACATTTTAATCCTCTATATAGGCAATGGGACCGATATCATGTACCGTGTTTAAACTTATCATTAATGTTCTGAAAATTATTTCAGGACAATTGGTGGCTGTCATCTCTCAGAAGCATATAAAGTAATTAAAGAACTGTTACGCAACTCGTACATGCCCTAATTTGTGCAGTTAGCGACCAACAATGAGCTACGGAACAATATTCTTTCCACTTCCAAGGTAACTTAGCCAAATTCGAAAGTACAGATGATTCTATATTACTGCCGGGGTGTCAGTGGGCTATAAACGGAAACCCCGACAATAATTTGGAATCACATTGTTTATGAGAAAGTAGTATGTACAGTACTGTAACGGATTTGATCACCGCGTTGCCAGGCAACAGCTCTGTATATACGGCCCAACACGCAATAATACAGGAAGCTGTGTTTTCTGTAAATCTGACCGACGCGCCAATAGACTGGCTGGATAGCGATCACGCGATATGCGTTTACTGCAGATCCATGTCCGTTCAGCGGCTATACAAGTAGGTGCCAGAATTCTTTCAGGGCAACCCGGTGTGGAGGCGGGGTCGAATACCTCCACCGTGACCCTGCGAGTCGTAGGAGGCGACGAAAAGGGAAGTGTCAAATGTGAGACAGTAAAATATGGTCGCAAGTCCCAAGGGACTAGGACCCGAGAAACACTGCGCTGGCAAGGACCAGCAGCATATGCAAAAGACAGACCAGTCCTCTCGTCAGAGAGGGCGCCCCACAGAAACAAGACGTTAACAGTCGAGGAGCAATAAATATCTGGTCATGAGCCCCAAGAGGGTGCTCGATACCAAGACTTACTGACTGACTGACCGTCAGCCGCAATGTGACTTGGACTTGGACTTGGACTTTCAGGGCAATTACGAGTTATTAGTTAGGAGTGAGTAGCAGAGGCAGAAGCACGAAAACAAGAGGACAGCAGTATATATGTGAACAGTTTCAATGAATGCACGCCGACTCTCATGAGAAATGTGATTCGCAAAGAGCGGTACTTCAAACTACAGCAGGCGTACGTGAAATTCACAAATCTTATATATCCTTTACATGTAAGTTCTCGCTTCAGAGTGGCGCCGTCTGTCACAAGTTACAATGGAATTGATCGCTTTCAAGCCAGCAAACATACATAAAATCGCCCCCTGCATAGAATGAGTTAGAAACTTCAATTTCCCAAAGTTTATTCAAAATCAACAAGAAAGAAAAATACATTTCCTAGGACCGGATTTCTTTGTGGACATTTTGTATTATATAGTACATAAAAAAAGTCATTTCTGACTATTCTTGCGTCCATACGCAACTGCGATGCTGTCCTGGCGGGGAGCCAATGCTTGAATCTCCACCCCCCCTCCCCATGGCAAATGTCAAGACGAAATAGAAAGGACGCTGATAGAAAGACGGCAGGGAACCAAGCAAGCACCCGGAACTCACCCGACCGCTTGTATACTAGCACAGCCACTCTTTTGGCTTACTTAAATTGTTCTGCGTTGGTCGAACTTAAAGAAAGTTTGTTATATTAGTAAATTTCCATATGTGCAACTTTCTGTCGTTGAAAAGACACTAATAGTGTCAATGCGTCTTTTGCTCAAACCTAATGAATTGAGCACATACGGAAGTCATGTCTGTTTATCAATCTGCCTGTCTGCTCGAAACTAAACGGTTGTGTATTAAATTAGATATTGTCCATTCGTAAACATGTCGACAGAATTCAATTCTGGTTGAAATCGATTAACATATAGCCTCTACTTTAATTGAAGCCTAAATCGAGCTTTATGGAGTCTACATATTGCGACGTGTATACCCAATACTAAACAACGGCTCGGTAAATAAGCCTCGACAACAGACAGTTTCTTGTGAGGTCTGACTTTCGACTGTTGCTATGCAATGTTTCGGTAAACACGCTTCAACAGAGACTGTGTTTTCTGCTTGGTACGTGCCGAGGAGTTACTCGAAGATAACCGGCGCTACAAATGTTCAAGCTGCTAAGTGTTAACCAGCGGGCAACGGAAGCTGAAGAATCTCAGTTGTTAGGATTCATTGCCAGGAAACGTCTAGTGAGAACACTGCAGAGGAACAGCCATTGTGGAGAGCTGTTACCACGTAAAGACTAGCGAAACTAGATCGAGAAGACTTAGTGTGGAGTGATTTGTAGCGTGGAAACGAGTGATAATGTAATAATTATTTGTAGTTACGACCTGTAAGTGGTCAATAAATCTATTCACCAGTCCAAACTCCGTCTATATTCACCAATGTATGTGACAATATTATCAAGAACTGCTCATTAACAATAAAGAGATAAATAATGTAAAATAATCTGACAAAAAAACTATAAATATTACCTGAAATACTTTTCAATATGATATATATTTAAGAAAATTCAAGGATAATTCAAGCTTCTTGTAGAATTACCCTACAAGACATGTCAATATCTCTACCTTGGGGCCCATCAGATCGTGTACTTTCCTCTCTTTGCATCTTCTTCATCTGCTAATGGTTAATATCCAATTCCGAAACCTCGTGATTTCATGCAACAAGAAATAAGACGGTGAACAAAGTCCAGACAATCAGCCCTTCATACGTCTAGCATGTACCGCCTACCAGAAGCTTTCCTTCCCGCCAGCATGGCTCTCCGGGTCATTGGGGCTCGCAAACCGCCTCTTCACGATAGGGCGGTATTCCTGCAGGAGGATAGTACAGTACAGTAGGTCTACAATGGAACTAAGGATAGGGTCTAGTGATAACCTCTTATAAACACGGTAATGAACCTTCTGACTTCATAAAACTAAGTATTTCTCGCCAATCTGAGCAACCATCGGTTTCTTAAGCAGAATTACGCTGCAGAGACGTTGTCTTAAAAGTCGTAAAGATGTCAATGACCTATGGCCTTGAAGGAGATGAAGAGCAGAATTAACATAACGTAACAGCCTACAACATATGAACCCATATAGCTCAGCCATTAAAGTAAATAGCTATGGGATGGATGACAGTGGTTCGATTTCCGAAAGGGCCAAAATACTTTATCCTTGCTATCACGTTCGTACCCGCACCGTGGCCCACACAGCCCGGTGGCTGTTTGCGTGGGGGCAATGCAGCCGGAGTATGAAGCTAACCACTCACCTTTGTCTGCTGCCCAGACCTACCTATGCGTGCAGGTATGTCTACAAACCCTTACATACCCCCGAGGAGTATGCTTGGCCTCTCAGCATCGTAACATTACAAACATCCCATCGCTGAAGTTCACTGTCCCTTTCTCAGCCTGTCTTGCTTTCAAGACGTCCATGTGAGTGACATTGCGTACAGAACTTTTTGACCGGAAGAAAAACTCGGGGTCCGTAGACGCTACAGAAATAAAAGAAGCAACTTGTTTACGTCTATGTCGCTCTACTTGACGTCACGGATTGGCGAAACATAGATCGAGACATATCGAGACATGAAGGTTATCGATATTTGTAGATTACTGACAGGCAGGAAACGGTTGCGACGCAATGGAGCAGGAAACTAAGTCAGGGCGTATTCTGCCCGGGTTGCTGCAAGATACAGAGCGTTCTATCCGCAACGGATGGTTATTCCCGTGTTAAAAGTAGGAGCCTTGTTACCATGATATGTCCCTTCTCTAGACTGAGGATGAGGAAGAAAGACGTAACCTGAAGACAAAAAAATTCAAAATGAGAAGCTTCACAATTTTACACGTCACACAATATTTATAACTGATTAAATGAAAGAGGACAAAAATGATGAACATGGTGCATACAAGCAGGCATTCTGAAGTGCATGCACAGTCATCGTCGGAAAATACGCGAAGAAATTATTCGGTAAACCTGGCAATCTACTATCCTTCAAAGAAGAGATGGTAAGGCAAGCGATAGATGTTAACTAGTTAACCTTGAACTGTTCATCAGGGACACATTAAGCTTTAGTATATCAAGAATAAGGCAGAGGGCCGCCCGAAAACCAGTCCGAAGTTTAAAACTTACACGGTACCTGCTGGGTGAGGGCGTTAATTGCTTAGCCTTCTCTTCGATTTATTACAGTAGATGGACGAAAAACAGTGCACTGAAAATAACCTGAGAGGAATATAAAACGAAAGACAGAATTTGATTCAACTGGATCATGTAATTTTGTGAATTCACTAACGAATCTCTTAGTTCCACAAAATCGGGGACTGTCTCGACCAGCTGATCAGTTCTTCTCTTTGTTCTTGTTATTCTTCTTTTATCTTGACAGATTAGGCCTTCTGGCCTGTGCCCATTCAGAATTAATTAATTCTGAAATCTCACTCTTATAGACAGTTGGCAGTACTCGTTTGGCGACTGATCAGCAGGTTGCAAAGCCAACACCTATACAGGACAAAACAAACAGAATAAACACAGACAGGCAAACATGCTTTAAGTGGGATTCGAACTCATGATCCCAGTGTATGAGAACACATTCCGTGCCTTAGACGGGGCGCCATCTGTAATTCGTCACATCAGTTTTTAACAGCAATATTAATAACAGTTCTTAATAGGCACAAAATACGTGGATCTATTGAATGGACGTTTGAGCAACCGATACTATAAGCCATATGTTATAACTGTACGCAGACTATCCAGTCCGTGACAGAAATAATTAGCTTACATTGGGGCTGAAGACATTGCAATCTAAGGCAGCCCATATACAAGAAATAAACCACATTTCGCGCACGTTCTGGCCCTAAATTGTATATCTCTATATGTGTTCCGTGTTATCTTGAAAACAGAGCAACGGAGTTGAATTCATAATGATTCAGAAGCGGCTTCTTGCGTGTTTCCAGAGACTCGGAACAGGAGTGACCGAGTATGTTTCTGTAATATTAACAAGAATGGGAGTAGGGTGACCGCCTCTATGGTCTAGTGAACATAGTTCCTGGCTTCAGATCCAGAGGTTCCGGGTTCGATTCCAGGCGCTACCAGATTTTCTGAGAAGTAGTGGTTCTGGAACGGGGTCCGCTCAGCCTCGTGGGGTTAATTGAGGAGCTACTAGAATGGAAAAATAGCGGCTCCGATCTAGAAAACGGAAATTAACGGCCGTGGGGATTCATTGTGCTGACCACGCGACACCCTCTATCCGCTAAAGTTGGTACTAACTTCGCCGACAAGCGGCGGTCGCTCTGTCGGTATAGTTCGCTTGCGGACTAAAACCACGGCGTTTGTTTTGTTTATAGGAGAAGAGTGGAGTGACTTATGCAGTAGTTAACATGGCGTACTCTTTTCGGGTCTTTGTCTTCATACAGGCCACGACCGCCTGTCTCACACACGACGATATTCATCATTCAACGACGGAAGAGAAGTAACTTCACATAGCAGAGAAACAAAGAATGAAATGAAAAAAGTGACATTAAAATTGAAAACACGCACGCTATTTCGTCGTGGCAGCTAAGTGAGAACTCGCGTAGCTATGAGTTGTACTAAACATTTATCCGAAATTCATTACATGCTATGATATTCTGTTTCTGGTTATGTTCACGAAACTTCGTGTATCTCTTTTCAGAAGATGCAACTCCCCGAAACGACTCTATACGCCTGGATCCAGGCTCACTAGTGACATCTAGCGGTACCTTCTACGTAGCAGTTGGTTGTGCATGTGTCATGATCGTCGTAGTGATTGCAGTGACATCTGTTGTCTACGTCAAGAGCAAGAAAGCAAGGACCCAAGAATCTCTGCAGTAAGTAATAATTCAGTCCAAGGCCTAAGAAAACTCTTATCAAATCATGCTTCTCAATTATTACAATTATTATACAGAAAATCACGGTGTTAAACTGAATGGCGCTAATGTCGATCACACCTCAGATATTCGCACTGTCTCCATGTTCAAGTGTTAATGTGAAAGGGTTTCAACTGCAAGATGTTAATGCAGTTTCACGAAACAACACTTTAGCCCTAATGGAACTGGTAAAAATGATTGTTTTGTGTTATGTCTGTATAGGAGCCAACATGTTGTGGCGTATAGAGCCGTCGCTATACGACCACAGCGTGATAGGCGAATAGACAAAAGAACTTTCTAGGCAACGGCTCGGTAAACTTTCCCAAGGCAATGAACCGACCCGCAACAATAGAGGTACTGTTGGAAACGGGGTGTTTTCTGTGGTTCGGGCCGCGCCCGTTGCTACGCAACGGCGTGGCAAACACGTCTCTACAACGAGAGAGGAACACTGTTTTCTATGTGGTCCATGCCGAGGAGTTACTTTGAAGACAACTGGGGCAACCCAGTTAGTGGAGAGGCAGTTCTGTACTGGAGGATGTGAAAAAAGAGTTGAGTTTTGCAAGGGAGGCTGAGAAGAGATGACACTGCAATTTAGTTCTGTAAGGGAATCGATGAACAGAGGATTCGAGAGCGTGAAGCTGAAGTATCTCTACTATTAGAAGCCACTGCCAGGGAACGGCTGGAGAAGACACAGTAGGCTGGAGAAATCTTAACGGGTGCTGTGGTGATTTGTGAATTGTGGAGATTAGTGGTGGCGCTCTAGTTATTTGTAGTTACGACCTGTAAGTTGTCAATAAATCCATTCATCAATCCAAACCCCGCCTATAGTCACGAGACCATATGTTGGCTGCGTTCATCAGACAAACGTTCCAGCCATAGAGACTAGAACTTCCCCCCAAGAAAACTGCACGCACATAACATACGTTCTTTACACCATTTTTTTTTCTTGGCACTACAGCCCCAGTGGGCCTAGGCCTACCTCCATGAACTTCTCCGTTCACTTCGGTTTTTCTAGATCTTACACATTCGGTAGGACTCCTTGGGCGGGAGATCAGCTCGTCGCAAGGCCTCTACCTGTACACAAACACAGAAAAACGCACACACACAAATTAAACATCCATGCCCTGAGTGGGATTCGAAGCCACGATCCCGGTTTCCAAGTGAGCGAAGACAATACATGCCTCAGACCGCGCGGCTACCGTGACCGGCTCTTTACACCATTACAGAAGAGTATACAAGTTACTGTTTGCTGTTCATAATTATTGTTCGGGGCCTGAGGAGAAATGCAAACTTGCGGGTGATACTAATAAATAAATTTGTTTCCTTTTCCACTGTTAAACAACGACTATAGTCGGAACATGAGAGGAAAATGAAGACTACTGTCTTCCTGGAAATTGAACTGTGTAGTGAGGTATATGTTTGCCGACATTTCGAACACATTCATCTAAAACATTAATAAAAAAACTACCACATTACACGGTGTCACATCCAAAAAAAAAATCTTCATTGTCGCAGTCGTGAGAACATCAAACCTCTGAATGGAACGGTGTTTCTGAAAACATCTCTTGTTTAGCATCGTAAGGTATTGTCACGCGTAGGGGTGACTTATAAGACGGGTGTTGGATTGGATGATTGGATTTATTGACACTCTATATATTCACAACTCGGGAGTACACACAATTACACCACTATCGCTGATCTACACACTGTACAGTTCACCGTTACACATGTACTAGATTTCTCAGTCTTCACTAGTCGTATCCTGACAACTGTAAATTTAGATAACACATAAAGTCTTCTCACAACCTAATTCCTGTCTTGTCATTATTCTGCAGCTGCTAATTCCGAAGACTCGACTCAATTGATTTTCTTTTCTCACAAGCTCATATTCAAACACACTGGCGTCCCGAAACTCGACTCTTCAATCGACTCTTTACTCTTCCCGACTACTGTTCTATGTTGCTGTATTCTGCCGAACACTTCTTTATAACCACTTTGCACGGACTCCACGGAAAACAATATATCTATTTTTGAGATTTATTGATCCGTTGCCTAGCAATGAACGTCCTATTGTTGCGATTGTTTGCTTCTACGGGAATGTGTTTGCCGAGTAGTTGCCTAGCAATGGATATACACGTCATAATATAAAGTTTAGAGGTTGAAAAACGAAACCCGACACATAAAATCAAAGAATAATTTAATGTGAGCTAAATATGTTGAAAAGCTTGGCAGATTCATTTCTTAATGCTGTGACCTAAATCATACTCGTAAATCTTAATTGTACTTCGAAACTGAAGCTATGATGTGACATCAATTTTCAAGCGTCTCTGGTAGCAACTGTATATTGGAAATTCTCGTACCATCAGCTACCGAATTGCCAGATACCAAGGAAGACCGAACTATGTTGAACTTGCTCCATCTATTACAAACCTCTGCATTCCTTGTGTTCTATCACTTTGCCACAGAATGCCTTAAAGCTCCTTCATCCACTCATCTGTTTCAAAATGTCAGGACATTTCATTCAACTCTTCTAAGAATCTGATTATAGATGTACTTTAGTTAACCCTGCATGTACATTTCGATTCCCGCACCAATCGGCCTGCTTTAGAAGACTGGTTGCTGCTCATTTCTGGATTCTTGTACAGTGTCTTCTGTATCCAGAAGACAAACATTCTGAGAAATATAAGAGAGTCTTCGACTTGAAACGATTCCTTGGAACAGGTGAAGCAACGAACGAAAAAAAAAATATGAGAAATGTTATGCCTACCAAACAAACAAAAAACAAACTCCGTGGTTTTAGTCCACAAGTGAACAATACCGACCGAGAGACCGCCGCTTGTCGGCGAAGTTAGTGCCAACTTTAGCGGATAGAAGGTGTCGCGTGGTCAGCGCAACGAATCCCCACGGCCGTTAATCTCGGTTTCCTAGACCGGAACCGCTATTTCCTTGAAATAGCTCCTCAATTATCCTCACGAGGCTGAGACCCACTACGACCTAGGCCTACCACGAGGATAGTAGTAAGTAAAGTAAGTAAAGTAAAGCTATCACTGTAACAGGCCGTGAAGGCCCATAGGGTTGTGAGACGTTGAGGCTCCCACATTATCTAGACAATCGGGTCAAAGATGGCGGTAAGGTTGTCAGTCTTACCCGCCGGCCGCGCTTTACTCCCCAGGAAAATGATTTAATTAATTCCTGGTACTCATTTCTGTTAGAGGTTGAGTCAACCCCAGGGCCATAGTGCGGCTGGAAATATTAAAAAATATTTCGGGTAAAAAAGGCATGAAGCTGGGGAATTGATTCACCTGCCTCACTGCTTCAGCATGAATTTTTTAAGATAGTAATGAATCTTCTCTTTCAACGTAAGGCAGGGAATTTTACTGGCCCGATAAGCAACTATTATTTACTCAAGGATAATCAGACCTGTTTATGAAGCTTCCTTACACATCGTCGAAACAGTTATAAACGTGATCACTAATCGTAAGTAAGGATTCATAAGGAGACCCTCGCCATCTATTTTAATTACTAATGCGTGTTTGACCTAGGAAGAGTGAGTAGCGCATTAGAATACGTCAGTGCAGCCGGTAATCAGACAGATATTCGGATCGAATAGGCCCAGCACATAAGTGCAAAACCTTACCGCTACATTAAAAAAGAGGTAAAGCTATCCCTGTAACAGGCCGTGGAGGCCCATAGGGTTGTGAGACATCAAGACTCCCACATCTTCTAGACAATCAGCTGACAGATGGCGGAAAGGTTACTCTTAAGCGCCGGCAGTCCATTACCCCCAGGAAAATTCCTGGAACACATTTCTGTTAGAGGCTGAGTCGACAACAGGGCCATACCGCCGCTGGAAGGATTAGATCAACTGAAAACATCCTAATGATCTCATTGGGAATAGAACCCGCAACCTTCCAGCTTGTAGCTTAATGCCTCGACTAACTATGCTACCGCCTACCCCCACAGCCATATTAACCTCTTACATATACNGGTCACTCTTAAGCGCCGGCAGTCCATTACCCCCAGGAAAATTCCTGGAACACATTTCTGTTAGAGGCTGAGTCGACAACAGGGCCATACCGCCGCTGGAAGGATTAGATCAACTGAAAACATCCTAATGATCTCATTGGGAATAGAACCCGCAACCTTCCAGCTTGTAGCTTAATGCCTCGACTAACTATGCTACCGCCTACCCCCACAGCTATATTAACCTCTTACATATACGTATATATGTATACAGGCCTTTATGTCGTTGTGCTTAGACACAGGGAAAATATGACCTTCACTTTGTCAGCCGTATTTCATATACGTACGTCTGCATGTACATGTAGAGTACATGGCGCGAACCACATTTTCTTTCGGAACTAAACCATGCGTGTAATATTGAAGAAAGAAGGCATACGGAAAGAGAAAATGAATAAAAGAGGAAAACAGAACAAAGGGAAGTGAATTTTACATGCAGTGAAGCCCACCCGCCGGGTCTATGATAGGAAATTGTTCCGGGAGTGAGCGCTGCGTCTGTAGATGGTTGACACACGCTATGCCACAACAACATGGAATGTTTGTGGCGGGCTGAGGACGGCGCCAGAGCGTTTGTGTTAACAGACGCGCCAAGTCTGAAGCGTCCATATTATGCGAGGGAGAAACAGTAGCATGAGGATATTCAAGAAAATGAAGGGCGGGAGGGAAATGTACATCTACTCTCTCAGAATTTTTTTCTTTATTATGCTACTTTACAATCTACATCATTACAGAGTATTAAGTAAATGTGTTGTAGGTGGTTAGCTTGCAAGGGAAACATCCAGTGATGTTTCTCCTATATGTAGTCTATTTTATTGACTGATGATGCCCTGTTCAGTCTTCTTGTCAGTGGACCGTTGGCATATAGTTCTTCTAGTAATTCGTTGTCATGGTTTACAGATACAAGTAATTTACAGGTGTGTTTCTTGCTGTACTGCATTCTG